TTCTGCAAAATATTGGGCAGTTCCCAGTTCTACAAGTTCACATTTCTGATACTCTTGTGACAACATAAGCAATGCCCCTCACAATCTGGACATTTGAAGTAAAGAAAATTCAGAGCATTTCAGGTATTGGATTACATATAGTGGAAGTGAAGACCAATAAACAATACAAAGAAGACCAATATAATTGATTCCATTAATTAATCCTCAAGGATTTCCTAATAGGCTTACTCTTCTGTCTTCTATGGCAGGATACTAAAAGGTTCCTAAGAAATGGACATATGGGTGAGGGAAATTTAATTCTATGACTTCCCTGAAACCAGGAAGAAAAAAAGAAAGGAAGGAAGAAAGAAAGAAAAAAGAAAAGAAAGTTAGAAGGAAGAAAAAAGAAAGAAAGAAAGAAAGGGGAAAGAAAGAGAGAAAGAAAAGAAAGAGATAGTGAGAAGGAAGGAAGGAAGGAAAGACAGACAGACAGAAACAAACAAACAAACAAACAAACTTCCTGGCATGAAGAACTTGTAACCAACTTTCTCCTATGTGGTGTTCTTCAGACAAATTGTATTAGCTTCCATGCTAAGATAAAGATTGTAGACCAAAACATCTGGGCATCATGTTCAAAATATTTAAAGGGCCAAGTATTTCCCCTGCATTTGAGTGTCAGGCAGTCCTGTCTAGGACACATCTTAGAAGATCAGGAATCATCTCCCAAGGACTTTCTACCCATGTTATATTAAATGGGGAATGACTTCAGTGAAAAGCTTCCATTGAAGATCTGATAATATAGTAAATTAAATCACAGTCTACTCTGTAGGTCAGGTTTCGGTTATCAGTTGCCCTCCAGATGTGTGGATATTGCAATTCTAGCTATCATGATCTGAAATAGGTTGAGAACATTGGGTTGGAGAGGGTAAATTGAGACCCAGAGTTTCCAGATGGAACTTTGTAACCCCAAACCAGCAATTTTGAACTGATTCCAGAAATGAAGCTCAATTTAGTGAGAACAAGGGAGGATCCTGGGTGGTTCCACATAAAATTGAATGTTACCATCTTCTGCACCTGCCAGTGTGTCTGCACCTTCTTCAAGGGTGGCCCCATTAATTAACAGATCGCAGTAATCCAGGGATGGGCAAACTGCAGCCCCAAGGCTGCATGCAGAATCTCCTCTTCTAGGGTCCCACCTACCCCCTTAACTGCCGTGGTTCAAAGTCAGCAGCCTGGATTCTTGCTATTTTGAGATATGAAGTGTGCAAACATGGAGAGTTTTGCCAGAAAATACTCAGACCTTAACACCATTTTTAAAAAGCAGGATAAGGGAGGGAGGGAGGGAGAGGGAGAGAAACAAGAGAAACAGAGACCAGAATATAGCCAGCTAGAAGACAGACTCAAATAACAAAATGGCTCAACCACCAAAAATTCAGAGAGAGGGGGGAATGAGAGAGAAAGAAAAGGAATGAGAGAGAGAGAGAGAGAGAGAGAGGCAGAGAGAGAAGGAATGAGAGAGAGAGAAAGAGAGAGAAGGAATGAGAGAGAGGCAAAGAGAGAGAAGGAATGAGAGAGAGAGAAAGAGAGAGAAGGAATGAGAGAGAGGCAAAGAGAGAGAAGGAATGAGAGAGAGAGAAAGAG